TCTAGCACCATGTGCTTCTCCTTGGATACCTCCATGTCCTTGTACTAACTAGAACAAGCCCTGATGAACACGTTAGACTTTAGGCCAGAGCAGAGCATAGATACAACGGCAACAGCATCAAGAACATAACAGACCGTTCCTGGCAGAACTGTGTCTTGGTTTTAAAAAATTATGATTCCTCTATGACAAAAATACTGAAGCTGTCTATCAAGTGAATGAGCCATTTGTTAGAATTCCCCACAATCCAGATCTGTCGTTTACACACTCATACTCATACTTGTGTGCTACCTTTGGACCTGGTAGCCAGTCTGTCAAGATCTACGTATGTATGGTATTTATCTAAATCCAAACGCTACAGCTCCCTGAGCATAAGGTAATTGATGTGAGCCAGACGAGAGCATGATTACAGTGTGCCTTTTAAAGATGAAATAAGCACAACTCCTATTCAGCACATCAGCCAGAAAAATATCCCACCTCCATCTCCCTAACCCCTCCCAGCACTTGTAAATTCTTTCTCAAGAAAAACAGCGGCTGGTGAATGGCTGCCAAAAACGCATGATAAGTTTATTTCATCAGCTGCCAACACATCACACCACCTGGCTCTTTCCTTGGTATTGCCAAGCAGAACTGCCAGCCAAGAAACATGTCATGAATAAAATGACAAGGGAAGAAAAAAAAATATGATGATGATGATGGTGAAGAGCAGAAACAACTAACACTGCTTTCAATGCTACACCATCTTATTTATTTTTCCCCTTTCCTACATTTTCAATTATGGATATGTGTCAAAAGCTGTAAGGAATAGAAAACTATCTCAAGGACTGGCAGCTCCAATTCATAATCATTACAGCTTATAAGAGCATCATATATCAAAGGAATCTGTATAATAATGGCTTGCCAAAGAAATCCTTCTCGGGAATGCAAAGAAACTGACACAAGGATACTCCTTAACCATATGTATACTCCATGATGCTGTCAGCTCCTCCTTGTGAGAAGAAAAGGCTTGATAAACCATTTGTTTCTTGAATAAGGAGGTACAGATAAAAGCCTTTTCTTCCGCGGTAAATTAATTATATTCATTGGGCAAAACAGTAGGACACTATTGGCCAAATAAATAGGTTTGGTCCATGGCAGGTAATGCGGACGAGCTTGAGACACAGATAGTGACAGACACCTGACTTGCTGGCTTGAAGGATCACCAGATCCAAATCACTCCAAAACCCAGCAAAACCGACTAAATGTGCAGTTTCATTGCCTCCATCACAGTGGTCTTCACTTACCTGATGGCAGTTCTCCTAGAAGAATGGATTGGGATTTGCTGCCCTGTGAGGCCCAACATGTTATTTTTGAGGGGTTCTCTTTGAGATTTTGCAGACCACAGTATGCAAGCCACAATTGTGCAAAAAAGAGTGCATGTCACATATTTTTCATATTCAGATCTTTTTTTAAAATGTTTTTGCTTGTTTAGTGCTCAAAAAAGTCAGTGCAGAAAAAAATCCCAAGTGTTGAATTTGCTTAGGTGCAACCTGCAATACACACACTGGCCACAAGTGGTCTGCACACAACAGACTGGGAACAAAGTACAAAGTGCTTCACGTTCAGTAGTGTGTCAGCTAGGCCCAGAAAAAAATTACTTTAACAAGGAGGTACATTTGACTCCGGTCATTACTGTTCATTTATGTATTTTGTTGGTGAAAGGGAATTGCCTTTCTCTATTACAATACAGTAAACACAGCACCTGGTTTCTGTGAAAAATCCTATTGTTCACATACTGTACCACCTACTGTACTTACATACATGCTTATGTACACACTGAAAGCATGTTTCGGGACTATTTTCATATGGGTCTAAAACGTACAGCAGTTATGCTGCCTTTATTGATACTTCAGACGTGGCACCTGTTTTTCATACCCCGTGTACAGACATGCAAAGCAGCAGAACTGTGCTACCAGCAGAGCCACGTGACTGGTGGTTTAGACTGGTGACACTGAGAAAATGCCTGCGGCTGCTGAACCACGTTACAGGGTGGCCCACTGTCAGTTACATCTTTTTCTCAGCGGGTACTCTCCAAGTTCAAGGCGTGACATCCTAGTAAAAAATACTTCACAATATAAGAGACTGACAACAGGCTAAATAGAATTATTCACAATCCTGAGAGGTATTGTCAATCCAAAAGGCCTATTTCAGGATTAACAACGAAACAAGGATCCAGGGACATACAAGGACTTTTTTATACCAAGAGTAGTGGGTATGTAAAAATTCTTATTAATAAAATCAGTGCATTCCACTAGCCTATTTTTTATAAGATATTCTCATAATTGTCATGAATCAATTGCTTAATATGCTACTGTTGTCCACATGACATAAGTGCTGCCTGAAACAGAACATTAAGATATATGTGTCAAAGCAAGAACAGTTTTTCTGCGGGAATAGGATGAGTCAGAAAACAAAGACCTGACACTGAAACTGCACCAGTGATGTGTATTAAATAGCAAAATCATATGGCACCTATATTATTGACTGCAAGTTCCCAGGAAATGTAGTAAAAGATGTCAGAAGCATCCTCATATTTTAATCTGCAAAAGGGATCTCCTTGCTTACATTTGTGAGTCTTTATGAGTCTCCTGCAGTCTGTGCCCCTGTGTCCTGGTACTTTAGAAAAACAGCAAGCAGGCATCACCTTTTTACACAGTGACATCCTGGTGCTAATCATGGCAATGCTCTGTAAAATCTACAACAGGGAATATTACTACAGTAAAATAATGCTTTACAACCATACTGTCTGTTTCTAAGTACCTCCTCCACAATTACCTCTCCTTTTGGTAAAACCTCAGGACACCTCCCCTACCAGGAGCGATGCTGCTTCCTGTCAGGAACACAGGAGCTGTGGGCTTTCGTGAGGGAGTGTGTCAACAGAGCCCCCCTCCTGGGATCAGTCAGTGCAGCGGGAGCACACACTCTGCCTGGGGGCTCGTGCTGAGCCCAGTGGCAGCTGTCTTGTGCAAACAGTGCCTCCTGCTGTTCGACAGAGGCACCACACAACCCTGTCAAGAAAGCAGCAAGCCTGGGGGATTATTACAGCACTGATTCATCTTGCTACCATCTACCCATTACATGGTTTCCTATACAACTATTATGGGAAAACTGCCGATCTCTGCAGTTTTGATTTGTTTTCCCCTCAAGTGGGTGTTTGTCAAGCTAGGTAATTATTAGCTATAGCATCTTGAAAATGCTTCTTGGAGCATACTGGCAGGAAGCCATCAGGAGAAGCTATATCACTAGAGTAGTGTTGCACTGCAGATGCAGATCTGTGAATTTCCCAGTTACATCTCTCATTCAGAAGTGCCTAGTCTTCTTAAGAGCTGTGTCTGCTAGCTTACAAGCTACCTCAGTGGTTAGCTTGTAAATAAAATCCATATTTTAAGAAAACAACCCTGTTTTCTACAAATACTCATCATACTTTCATAAACCAGTACATCTGTGAAGGCTTTATGACTGAGCAAGATGTTGTGTTAGTCTGAATGGATTAGCTTAAGGAGATTTATGTGTTTAAAAAGATGCCTATGCCTCACAGGAAGACCAGGTCATCTAAAATTCACACCTCCATGGGTTTAATAGTTAAAGTCAGACCACTGTAGTCCCAGCAGTGACAAGTCCACTTGCTGCTCTTTTGGACTTGTATCAGACCAGTTTCACAGTGCTTCCCCATGGAAATCTAACTCACGCACACAGTAAGGATTAAACTTTGCTGTTTAAAAAACACTTTAAAATACTCAATTACAACTGTACCCTCTTTAGTCATTGTTACAAGGTTATATGTCAGCACACAACCTCAAAATGGGACTCACCACACAGAAACAAGCTTGCTCCTCCATCTAGCTTTTAATTCCAATGTGCTTTAATTCTCACCAGTACTATTTGAAGTTTGCAAACATGGATCTGTAAGAACTGCATAAGAATCTTCTTTGCATCTGAGCTTTTCATTCATTACCAGTAAAAAGCTAAGATTAGGGCATAAATCATGTCGTTGAAGTTGATTTAATCAGATCTTTCAAGAAACAGCTGGCTAGCATCTGTCTACACGTGTTTTGACAGTGTACACTATAGAATGCATTTGGAAACACCTATCTGGTTTATATGATCTCTGACATGACTGGTGTAAGCTGAGCCCAGAGTGCTCCTTTTCAGTGCTGTCTCCCAAATTGCAATGCTCATACATGATGACTTTTGCTGGCAGGTCTATGAGGTCATATGAAACTGGGTGGGGCCTGAGATACCTTTAGTCAACATTTGGTTGTATTTACTAAGATGCACAGTTCTTATGCAAAGAATTGCAGCTGGGTTGTATTTTGCCAGCCTCTGTTTATTTCCTTTCCCCCATTTGTGTGAGCTCTCACTCTTTCTACAAGTCCCCTTTTGCACGTGTACAGTTTTGGAAAGCAAAAATTATAAAAAAGCCTTTTTAATTACAGGTTTTAGATTTCTAAAAGTTACACAAACTCACATTTTGTCCACAACATGTTTTAAGATGTTTTTGATATAAGAGATCCCACTACAGATACCTGTAAAGGTATAAGTACAACATGTTTCTTCCGTGTTTTAAATGTTCCAGTGTGATGTAAAATGGTACATAAAATCAAAAGGCAGTACACAAATCCTAACTTAACATGATAAGATATATTGCATTATGGAGGATAACCTATTCAATTTCCATAGCAACAGTCTAGTTTAAAGCCTTCAGGCCCACTGCCATTAAGCCTAACTTTGTTAAGGTAGGCCTGTCGTGGGAAAATTTCCCCTTTATCCTCAGAGCCTTTTTCATGAATTTCCTCCCCAGTTTAGCAGGAGGGTGAAGCTGCAGGGCAGGGGATGGACTGGAAATATTAAATGTAAGAAGGAATTTAGTGTTCAGAGCTGAAGCCTGTCACCCGACACATTAGTCCTGAAGCACAGTATTTCCGACCCTCGATTCCATTTTCTCACCGCTTTATCCAATACAGGGTCGCGGGCGGGCCAGGGCCGATCCTGGCAAGCACTGGGTGAGAGGATGCCAGTCCATCACAGGGCACACACTGACACCCGTTACACCAGAGACCATTTTCCCAGGAGCCTATTCACCTGCCAGGGAGGAAAGTGGAGCAGCTGGAGGAGACCCACGCAGACATGGGGAGAACGTACAGTAGAAAGTCCACAAAGATACGTCCTTAGGTCCAGAAGTTATCACAGGGCCACATAGCAATGCTCACCACTGCAGCACCATGCTGCCTGTACAGTATTTCCTAATTACTTTTGTGACTTTTGGTCCTTCCCTTACTAGAGCTGTGGTCTCCTTTAGTTTTGTCTATATTGTACTTTATACAATGCATCAATGTGTAAACCATGGCTTTCTATGTACTGTATGGCAAAAACAGCTTGTCCCCAGCTGAAAGGTGGCACCAAAGTGGAAATGGCATAGTAAACTTTCAGAAGCACTGCTTCACAGAGTAGTACAAATTATAACTACGAAACCAATAACAAAAATACATATGAGATTGTTACATTTCCCCACTGAGTTGATGGTAGAATTCCCAAAGATACAGTGACCAATAGAAGCACTAAACAGTATTCTGAGCATGAAGACTCTCGGGCTGAAGATGATGTAGACAACTGCAATGTACTGAAGAGAAAGCAGCCAACTACATGTACTGTACTGTATGTGTTATCCAGAGGAGTGTGTTCAGGCGCTTATGGTTCACACATAACTGCAAAAATATAGTCAAATCGTGTAAAATAGAAAGCTGTGGTAAGCCTATGTAAATTTGCACTTCCAAATAAAGAATTTATATCCATTTCAGACTCGCTGTACTTGAATTGTCTCTGATCTGCACAGAAAATCTCTGAGCCTGTGTACAAAACAGCTTGCCATGCCCAGTGCATCTCTGATGAGTGCATACATGAATGTGGAACTGAAGATATGCATATATATTAGAGGAATTACAGTGTGTCTGGATGCAGAGTTTCTATAAAGTGATCAGATTAAAGTGCTGAATACAGGATACTTTTAAAAATGCACATAATATATTATTGCTTTGAGATGAATATATGCATACATAAGCTGTATACTGTATACAGTATGTAGACAGACATTGATCCCATACTAAAAATTAGAGAGATGAAAAACCCCACTTTTTTCAGCTGTGAACCCTTGTGCAGGTCTGTAATGTGTGTACGTACCATATATCTGTGTGTATTTGCATATGCACATTATATGAATGTGTTTATGAACATATATACTGTATATTGTAGGGATGCAGGAAGTCACATTGCAGTCTAGCAAGGGTCTAAATGAGTTAAATTTGTTTTGAAAAAGCTATTTTCAGAAGAGGAATACACAAAAGTACATTTTCCAATAATATTTACAAGCATCTTTTATACTTTCATACCCATTACTCCAAGCTACTTTAACAGTTGTGTTAAGGAGACAGAATTGTACAAATGCATTTGAACTTATATAAAGATTCCAGTACACAGTACAATGGTTATGTTTGACAGCAGTATCCCCCCTTCCAGTTACTCTAAAATATCACATACTCTCTCTGGAAGTATTCCGAAGAACAGGTGTCTGTCTCTTTTGTTAGCACACATAGAAAAAAAATGCAATATGGATATAGAGGTGTGATCCCCTCCCCTAAAATCATGTACTTAAAAGTTCATTTTCATTTTTTTTACTAGATATTTTTACAGGAAACAGCATGTTTGGTTCAATATGCGCAACACAGGATCTTCTCTCTGTCTCAAGACAGTAGATAGTTAACTAATACTAAAAGCCTTCGCTTCCGATTTTTTAAACTGTTCCCTGACCAATTGCCTTCCACCAACTGGTCAGGTGAATGAGGATGGCAGGTCATTCCCCACAGCTTTCAGGGGGATGTAGCACAGACAAGATCTGCCATCTTGTGTGAATCTTATGCAATCTCACAGAGAGTACCTGGAACAGCAAGGAAAAGCAGCTCTGTACAACAGGACGTTTCACTCCTACTGACACCAGCAATGGCATCAAACATCCTCTCCTTTCTGCAAGGCATCAGCATGCTTCTCCCATTTACAAAGAGATGCAACCCCAATCTCAGCACTCATAAGGGCTCTTAACAGTACCTAGGTAGTTGTAAGTTATGCAACTATTAGAAATTATAGCACTGACCATGGTATTGGACACAATCCACCTGTACTTGAATAAATGATGGGCAACATTTCTGCAAGAAATCAGTATAAATCATGAGAAGTGGGTGATGATGGCCTGGAAAGTAATAAAAAATTCCATACGTAATTCCAATATAACTCAACCACAAGGTCTGTATTTTTCATTCTTCAGTTTACTTATATTGCCAGGAAACATTGGAACAGTAGATTTACTGGCAACACTAAAATCTTGTCAAGGCCCTAATTACCACGTTATGTGTGAAAGGTTTATATTTAAACAAGGTAAAGACCCAAAACACATGGCCAGGCTCAACCTGAATTACTTCAGTAGACAAACAAGAGAAAGAGGTTCTGCGGCCTCCCACTTCACCTGAGCTTGAGCCCATTGAAATATTACATGATACAATGGAGAGTACAACCAGAATAAACATACTGAAGGGAAGGTTGTACTAACACAGCCAGAGATATACCCAGAGTGTGACTGTTAACAGATGAGAAAATCAATGAGGGGAAACGTGTGATGAGAAACGTTTCAGTTAGATTATCCAGGTGGCCCTATAATTTTCAACACATGCACACTTGTTTGCCATTTTATTCTAATACGGCAGACACTGCAGCATGTAACAGGTCTTGTAATTATGTAAATTACTGGAGATTTGACTAATAGGAGGGCTGGTGAGGGCAGGTGGATTGTGTCATACTGTAGACCACTGCTGGGTATAATATTAAAGATTCCTGTCACACGCTCACAAACATTATTTATGTGGCTGATGTTACACAGTCCTTGTAATGTATGGTCATCCATATATTTATATGCAAGATTGCTTTATAAAAACTGATTTTTTCATTTTTATACCACCCTGATCTGAAACTACCTAATGCCAATGACTTTTGTCAGTGAACCAATCCTTAAACCACTACGAGAGATGAAACAGACACAGTCATTATATCTGTTTCTCACACTCTCAGTCACCAGTGCAAACAGATTTAAGCAGAGGATGGAGGACTGACATATTTCACTGTTAAGACTCCAAGCTCTCTGGCATCTTGGCCAGCAGTATGTTTTCTGGTGAACAACAAGCCAAGGAAAAAGTAGCTTATTTTGAACCTGCCCAGCCTTGGCAGAGCTCTGCAAACTGCCTGCTACCACTTGAGGAATTATGGCTACAGCCAGTGACTTCTGGGCTCCAGAGCCCAAGGTGTGCTTTGAGTGGAGATGTTACCTGTTACCTGAGCCACATAATGTAATTACTCCTAAAAGTGAAAGAATTTTAGAGCTAAGCACATAAAGGTTCTTTCCATTTCACCAAAATGTGTCCTGTGTCCAGTTTGGACTTTGGATTTTCCCAGCACTACCAAATCCCTCTGGATGTCATTAAGCCATATTCACTCATTGTATTTATTGGGAAACCAAATACAGGGGGCTGTACTCTGGAGGGAACCTTTCCAGTACAACAAACATTTCTTATTAAACAGTTCACATCTTTAAAGCTTGTACACGGCTGATGTAGGAAGCGTGTCTTTTTTAGGCCTTGAAATAGCCAAACAGGAGCTGACACATCAGCCAAGCAATTCAGCCTGCAAACAATTTGTGGAAGGCCTGTGTCAGGAGAGCCGCCGGGCAGTCCTGAGAACGATGGGGCAGCTGTGGGGGATTTAGGTATTACTGTGTCCAGTCAGAGGAAATCACAACAATGGCACTGCTCAGATTTGGGGATTAGTGGCAGAGGTGGGAGGGTCAAGAGTCTGTGCACAAGAACAACAAGTGTGAAAACAGTAGGATTTTTGAAGTATGTAAGAATAAGTAAACAAAGCAACACTATTCTTTAAAGCGTGTGAAACAATTGTGATTGAGAGTTTTTATTCTTATCTTTTTATTCTATCAACATATTTCATTTTTTCTGATATTTTCAGTATCTTACTTTTACCCTCTGAAGTCTCTGGTTTGAGGTTTGAGAGGTATTAATTTTATTAAAAATGTGTGCACATCATTTTGTGATGTTACACCACAAGAAGGGTAAGGGTAGTACTAAAGGAATGTGGAAACACATACTGTACCTTATAAAAGTGTATACAGAGCAGCTGTCACTCTGAGTGATTGTTGTTGGTTTAGGTGTCTGGAATTAAAGAGATATAGTCTCTCACGATCTTGGTCATTCATAGAAATAAGGTGACATCAATGTCTCCTTCATCTCAGTTTATCCCAAAAATCCAATCAGAAACCACCACAAACATTTGAACAGATGGCACAGACTGGCCTATACCCTGCAAGCTCCAACGTATTGATGTGCTTCCTGATCTACAGAAATCACCCAAAAACAGACAGAATTCAAGGTCCCTAAAACCTAAAGCCCTGAGTACCAACTGAGTGTGTACATGTATCACTTGCCACATCTTCCAGACTATATACATTTTCAAAACATAATTAAATAATACTGCAAAACAAGCATAATAAACATAACAAGCATACAAACATAATTTAAAAGGCTTCTGTAAGGAAAAGCCTCATAAATGATCAGCAGAAACAAGTTGGCTAGATGGTACATGCCTTACTGTTGGCTCATGATGCTGCAGATCAGATCCTATCAGATTCTGTGACAATTACATCTGTCACAATTAGACATTAGATTACAAAACTGAGCTTCAGTCCTGAGCCAATCATGGTTGCCAGCGAGTAGCTTTGCAAATTCCCTGCAAGATGTTTACACAGCCCATTTGTAAAAGGTATTATCTACCAAACAAAATGTGTCAGTAACTCAGCTAAAAATCCCATATTTGCTGTTTGCAAATGATTCATACCTAATTCATAATGCATTAGATGCTTTGTTCATGCCAGTACCCTCCTGTCTCATAAAAAAGAGTTTATTGCATATTTATTGCAAGTTATTAAATAAATACCAGCACATAGAGGGAAAAAGTCCTCACCGGCTGCTCTGATTTCTGCATTCAAGTCA